GTATTACTCGTCAAACGGAAGGCGGACTAGGGTGTGGGGATACCGCCTGTCTTGGAGGGGGGTCACACTCCCCCTGAAGACCCAGATGTGCAATCTGGGGGTGATCCTGGACTCATCGCTGATCCTGGAACCCCAGGTGTTAGCAGTGGCCAGGAGCACTTTTGCACAATTAAAACTTGTGTGCCAGCTGCACCCATACCTTAAGATGCCAGCTCTGGCCATGGTAGTCCACTCCTTAGTCACATCCCATCTAGACTACTGCAGCACTCTCTACTTGGGATTGCCTTTGTAGATAGTTCAAAAGCTTCAACTGATAATGAGATTGGCAGCCAGATTACTAACTTGTGCGCCATACAGGGAGCCCACAACTCCTTTGGAACTCCCTTCCTAAAGAATTAAAAATGGCTCCCTCTCTCCTCTCCTTTAAAAAACTTTTTAAAACATATCTATGCACTTCAGTTTATGGATAGGAAGAGGACTAATTATATCTTATACACACCCCACCTTGTTTTGTTGAACATCTACCTTTGTTAATCTGCTACATACCATCTCAGCCTCAGTAATTTTAGTTGATTTTTAGGAGTTTTTAAGAATCGAATATGTTAAAAGTGTGATTGTATTATGTCTTATTTATTTAAGCTGGTTTTGATATGTTATTTGTACCTTTGGCATTGGATGTTTGCCAATATGTTTTATTTTGCTGTAAGCCACCTTTAGTTCCCTTGGGGAGATAGGGCGGGCTATAAATAAAGTATTATTATTGTTATAAGACAAATGTTATACAACTATATTATTATTTACTTACTATAGGCATTTTTACTTACTATAGGCATTATTATTTACTTACTATAGGCATTTTTCTTTTTATGTATTACTTTTTAAGATCTTAGAATGTGTTGTATGCAGTATCTGATGGTTTGAAGAATAGGTTTAAAATGAATAGTTTAAATCAGAGGTTCTCAACCTGTGGGTCCCCCGAACTGTGGGTCCCCCAGTTTACCAGAAATCCTAACAGCTGGTAAATTGGCTGGGATTTCTGGGCATTGTTGGCCAAAATACCTGGGGACCCACAGGTTGAGAACCACTGGTTTAAAGGGAGTAAACAAGCAATAACAGCCATCAGATACAGAATAGAAGTTTGTTGTTGTTTTTGTCATTGTTTCTCTGTGTTTTATTTTTCTCTTTCTATTTGGTTATTTTAAGTAGTTGTTTATTTTAATAATAGAGATACTATGCAGATTGTAGTTTTTTGATGGTTTTAGAAATAATTTGTGCATTTGATTTTGTCTTTTTCTTGACTAAAATGATGATGATGATGATGATGATGATGATGATGATGATGATGATGATGATGATGATGATGGGAAACAACTGGAAAAGCTGACACGATATGAGGATTTAAAGATCTAACTGCAAAGACTCTGGCACAAGCCAGTAAAGGTGGTCCCAGTGGTGATGGGCACACTGGGTGCAGTGCCTAAAGACCTTGGCCTGCACATAAACACAATCAGTGCTGACAAAATTACAATCTGCCAGCCACAAACGTCCCACCTTACTGGGATCTGCACATATTATTTACCGATACATCACACAGTTTTAGACACTTGGGAAGTGTCCAATGTGTGATCCAATACAACAGCCAGCAGAATGATCTTGTCTGCTGTGGACTCATCTTGTTGTGTTTCAAATAATAATAATAATAATAATAATAATAATAATGCAGAGTGTTCATGAAAATAGTCCTAAATTCAGTCTGTGTGCACCTTCACAATGTTATGGCTCCATGCTATGGAATTTTACAAGGTCTTTGATCTTATTTACTATAGACACAGCACTGTGTGATAAGAATTGCTTTGGTGGCAGTCCAGCTATAATGCCCATTTGCTTTCCTTGTGTCATAAAATCCTAAGACTACAAAGCCTTACTGAACATCGAAAAGTTGCAGATCTGTAACTCAGGGCTATGAATCTATAACTGCAATAGCTAGTTCCAGCCAATTTCTTTGGCTTACAGAATTAATTTCAGTTAATGAATGTTATCAAAGAGATATACAAGAGACCCAGCCGGTGTTTAGAACTACCTTTCATAAGGAAAACAATATTTTGCACTTACATTACTTCTGAGCAGGTATTGAAAAAAGTTACAACTCCGAGATCTCATCACAGTGACGACATTTCCTTCACATTTTCTGTTTAGACATAGCCTGGTAAACATTCTTAATATACAAGAAGTTGTTTCTGCCATGATTTGTGCTTATTTGTCATTAACATGGCATAGCCAATTTAAACAATAATATTACTCACTTTATTTGTACTGGATGTATTGAACTTGGCTGGCTCAGTGTCAAACACCATTTCATATTCAACCTTTGAAGAAACAACTGAGGCATGATAACTTTCTAAATTGCAAAATTATGTACTTCTTAGAAGGCATTATCATCAAGTTTGCAGACAACACCAAATTGGAGGGATAGCTGATACCTCAGAAGACAGGGGCAGAATTCAAACCGATCTTAACAGATCTTGGGCCAAAACTAATAAAATGAAGTTCAACAGTGACAAATGCAAGATACTCCACTTAGACAGAAAAAATGAAATGCAAAGATACAGAATGGAGGTCACCTAGTTCAACAGCCATAAGTGTGAAAAAGATCTTGGGAATCCTTGTCGATAACAAGTTAAACATGTTATCCATCATAAAATTCCATAGCATGGAGTCATAACATTGTGAAGGTGCACACAGACTGAATTTAGGACTATTTTCATGAACACTCTGCATTATTATTATTATTATTATTATTATTATTATTATTATTATTATTTGAAACACAACAAGATGAGTCCACAGCAGACAACATCATTCTGCTGGCTGTTGTATTGGATCACACGTCGGACACTTCCCAAGTCATGTCATGCAGTGGCCAAAAAATGGAATTTTGGCCTGCATAAATAGGAGTCTAGTATGTAGATCCGGGGAAGTCATGCTACCCCTGTAATCTGCCTTGGTCAGATCACACCTGGAATACTGTATCCAAAGGGAGATGTTGACAAGCTGGAATGTGTCCAGAGAAGAGTGACTAAAATGATCAAGGGTCTGGAGAACAAGCCCTATTTGGAGCAGCTTAAAGAGCTGGGCTTTTTTACTCTGCAAAAGAGAAGGTTGAGAGGAGGCATGATGAGGGCCATGTATGTGAGGGGAAGTCATAGGGAGAAGACTTGTTTTCTACTGCCCAGGAGACTAGGATGCAGAGCAATGGCATCAAACTACAGGAAAGGAGATTCCCTCTGAACATGAGGAAGAACTTCCTAATTCTGAGAGCTATTCAGCAGTGGAACTCTCTGCTCTGGGGTATGGTGTATGGCTCCTTCTTTGGAGACGTTTAAACAGAGGTTGGATGGACATCTGTTGGGGTGCTTTAAATGTGATTTTCCTGCTTCTTGGCAGAGGGTTGCTGGATGGCCCTTGAGATCTCTTCCAACTGAATGATTCTATTATTCTTCATTAGCAGAGTTGTAAGCAGAATCTACACTCACCATCAGACACTATTTAGAAATTGATGGTGGTGGTGGTGGTGATGATGATGGGGAGAAGTTCAAGCAGTTGTGCCAGAACGATTTAGCTGCATCTCATTCTTCAAAACGCTTATGCACACAATCAGTAATTGTGCATTAGAGCATGAAACAGTTAAATTTTTGAAATGTAATTTCCACAATCTCCCCAAACTGATTGGAAATCCTGGAAACTGTAATTTATGAAAATAACTTTTCCATGCTCTGTCCATCTATCAATGATGTGATTCTGGCTTTTAGTCAGAACTTGAAAACAGATATGTCAGGTTCCTATTTCAGGGAGAGGGTTTGAATGTTGAATACCAACTGTTAAATTCAGAATAGATTAATCACTCCACTAATACTGGAGATGCCAGCTTCACCTACTTTGCATTGATATACCCATGCAATAGAGCCATTGATGTTCATATTGGTGACTCAATCATAGGTACTGGTCTAGATATGTTGTGGTTTCATTTTGCCATTCATTGACCAGTAATGTGCAGTAAAACTAAATAAAGACAGGACGAAATTAAGGATACTACATTTTGCAGGACTCAAGGAAGCTATGCATCCCAGTTTTGAAGCTCCAAGCAGAGCTGTTAATAGCATTGTATTGTCAAAGGCTTTCATGGCCGGAATCACTGGGTTGTTGTAGTTTTTTTCGGGCTATATGGCCATGGTCTCGAGGCATTTTCTCCTTACGTTTCGCCTGCATCTATGGCAAGCATCCTCAGAGGTAGTGAGGTCTGTTGGAACTAGGAAAAAGGGGTTTATATATCTGTGGAATGACCACATGTTAATAGCATTTCTTGAAGGTCTTTAATTCATGGGATGGTCATAAGCCATGACTTGGTGACACATAAGAGCAAACAACTTCCATGCAATTGAAAAACACAAACTAGTGTTTAAACAACCAACCATCTTTTCATATTATCTTTTCTATGGCTTTTTTTGCTATTGCTGCTGCTGTTGCTGCTATTTAGGTGACTTATGATACATCTACACTGTAGAAATAATGCAGTTTGACCCCACTATATGGAATCCTGGGAGTTATGATTTGATGAGACACCGGTTTTCTTTGGCACAGTAGGTTTAAAAACCTTATAAGCCTATTTGATTGCTTTGATTCTGTTTTGCTGCATGGCAGGGAGTTGGATTGGATGACCTTTGTGGTTTCTCCAATTCTATGATTCTCTAATTCTCATTACAGTCCCTGTGATTCCATAGCATTGAGAAATAGCTGTCAAGGGGATGTCAAACTGCATTAATTCTACAATGCTACCACATTGAAGAGGCCCAGTGGAAAATCTTAAAGCGGCTACAACATGGCTTATTACCCTACCCCTCCCTTTAAAAAGAAGCTTGGGGCCACTCAAAGCAGCATCTGAATGAGAAAATGAGTTGGGCAGTCTCATTTGGAATCTCTTATGTGTATCTGTTTTATTTTAGGAAGTTGACTATGAGATGAACAGAGCTTTCATGCTGACAGTGATGGTATCTAACCAAGCTCCTCTGGCCAGTGGGATCCAAATGTCTTTCCAGTCTACAGCTGGGGTCACCATTTCCGTGACCGATGTCAATGAGGCTCCCTACTTCCCAACGAACCGCAAGCTCATCAGGATGGAGGAAGGAGTACCAACAGGAACAGTATTAATGACCTTTTCAGCAGTGGATCCTGACCGCTTCATGCAGCAAGCTATAAGGTGAGTTGGAAGATGAAGCAATTAGGCAAGACTTGCAGCTGGAAACCTGTTGGTGTCATTCAAATGTGTAGGTTCTCTTTGGAGGTAGTTGTACAACATCTGGATTCAGTTCTAGAATGTGGCTACTGAAGTTTTGACAGGGTATTGTTAGATATATGGTGTGCTGTTGTGCATGAGGTTGTGCAATTTTGCATCCACACTAGGGAAATTATATCACTACTCTAATAACCATGACTCCATCCTATGAAATCTAGGAGTTAGGAGTTTGGTGAGAAGTTCCTATAATTCTCTCCCATGGAGCTGTAGCATTGTAGTTGAGAGGATGACGTCTCACCAAATTTCCCAGAATTCCATAAAACAGAGCCATTGCAGTTCAAGTGGTATCAAATTGCTATAATTTTTCAATGTTAATATACCCTTAGCGATTCAAAATGTAGGCCACACAGCACAATTGACACATAAATGCACAAGTGTTGTGTAGCACAATCAATCTTACCCAAAACTTGGTTTGTATTTCCTTGGGGTGTGGTACTCCCTATTTAATATTTTCCACTCCCTCTGTGAAAAATGAAGACCATTCCAGGAAATGTGTTATTGTGACAGTAGGAAGTTACTGTAAGAATGTTTTCTGTACAGATGACTAAACCACCAATTACTATCCTACCTAGCAGAGAGAAATATGTTACCATCTACCAAGGGCATGGTAACATATGTGTGGAGTACAGTGGGTAGCAAAAAATATAACAAAAGAAGTGCCTGCTTGGACTATTGAATGGTATCATTGCATTTGGTTCTAAACAAGCATGTGTCTCTTACACATTATAGATTAAATCCAGTCATTAGTTCCAACAAGAATAGAGCTGTTTGGGGCAATGCAACTTGCTCCCAGATTTGTTAAAGGATGCTGATTACAGGAACTAGATCATCCCATTGCTACAACAGCTCCACTTGCTACTGGTCTGTGCTTGTTAAGACGTATAAAGCATGGTTGTTGTTGTTCATTCGTTCAGTCATCTTCGACTCTTCATGACCTCATGGACCAGCCCACGCCAGAGCTCCCTGTCGGCCGTCACCACCCCCAGCTCCTTCAAGGTCAGTCCAGTCACTTCAAGGATGCCATCCATCCATCTTGCATGGTATGAGATAGAATTTATTTATTTATTTATTTATTTATTTATTTGCAGTATTTGTAGCCCACCTTTCTCAGCCTTACGGCAACTCAAAGCAACTTACAGAAATGGCAGAATTTGATGCCATACATTCATAAAAATACAGTTAAAAACATTCAACCTAATATTATAAAAAACATATAAAGCCATTAAAAAACATATAATTACCAGTGTCATCCTGTTACAATCGTTATCCATCAGCATTGTTCAGCCATTTCATGTTCATTCTTCCTATTTCATAATTATTTATTCCGCTGCATTTCCAAATGCTTGTTCAAAAAGCCAAGTTTTTACTCTTTTCCTGAAGGTCAGGAGGGAGGGGGCCGATCTAATATCCCTAGGAATAGAGTTCCACAGCCGAGGGGCCACCAGTGAGAAGGCTCTCTCTCTCTTCCCTGCCAGACGTGCTTGTGAGGAAGGTGGGATTGAGAGCAGGGCCTCCCCAGAGGATCTTAAGTTTCTAGATGGTTCATAAGAAGAGATACGTTCAGACAGGTAAGCTGGGCCGGAACCGTTTAGGACTTTATAGGTTAAACTTTGAATTGTGCTTAGTAGCAAACTGGCAGCTAGTGGAGTTGGCACAGCAGAGGAGTTGTATGCTCTCTGAGAGTGGCTCCTGTTAGTAACCTGGCTGCCGCCTGTTGGACCATTTGAAGCTTCCAAACAGTCTTCAAAGGCAACCCCATAAAGAGCATGTTGCAGTAGTCTATACGGGATGCAACCAGAGCATGGACTACCATGGCCAAGTCAGACTTTGATTTCCAAACTCTTCAGAAGAGACCCCTTTCTCAGTCTCATAAACTTCACAGGCATGGCTGATAGGGATGTACGACAGATCTCAATAGTTGCCCCTGGGCTCTGGGACTCCCTTCCTAGGAAAGATAGATTGCCTCCCACCTTGCTGTTCTTCCAGTGGAAGGGCTGCTGTGCTGTTTTAATTCTACTGTTTTTTTAATTGCCTTTTTTATTATTATTATTATTATTATTATTATTATTATTATTATTAAACTTTATTTGTACCCCGCTAGCATCTCCCGAAGGATTTGATGCGGCTTACACAGTCCAAGGCCTCAACACACAACACAACAATACAATCTAAGCAAATCAAACAATTAAAACAGAATAAAGCAAAATAAA